CCCGCTGCCTCCGTCGCGGGCCAGCCGACGCCGGTGCGCAGCTCCACATTCGACATCCAAGCCGTGTACATGCCACCCGAGGTCTGGTTGATGCGAAACAGATGACTGCCGTTGGTGCCCGGCATCAGACTGAACAGGATGGTACCATTTTCGCCTTGATCCGGATCGTCGGCACGCACTTGGCACACCAGACTGCCCAGAGGCGAGTTGGTGTAAACGGGAGGATTGTAGCCGAGGGTGATGTTGGGTGGCGGAAAGACGGGCTCGGGTTGGTGGTCGTTGACGTCGAGCACTCGAATCGACAGGGTCATCGTGGCACTGAGGCTGGGCTGGCCCGAGTCAGAGGCGATGAGTTCGTAGAAGAGGTTGGCGTAGGCCTCTCGGTCCACCGGCATCTGAGTGACCAACAGCGCAGAGACGACACCGTCCCCGACCAGCTCCAGGCTGCTGGGATCGTCGCCAGCCTCCCCTCCGACCGAATTGCTGGGCAGACGTTCCGTCTGTCGCCAAGCGGTGTCCGGACGACGTGGATCATGATCCCGGGTCAGCCGGATATACTTGCTCACCTCTGGGCTCATGAGGGGCGAGGGCCGGAGGTGGATGCGCGCGTTGGCCAGCAGATCGGGGTCGACGACCCGGATCCGGCCGATCAGACTGCCGACTCGCGCGTTCTCGTGCACCTCGAAGGCTCCACCGCCGCCCGACTCGGAGTTGGGCGTCGCTGTGGCGGGATCGAGTCTTGGCGGACAGTCGTTGACGTCGGTCAAGTGGACCTCAACCTCGACGCTGGTCACGAGGCCGCCGCCGTCTCGGGCCAAGACGGGTACAATGAGACGATCGGTGCTCTCGCGATCCAGCAACGTCGACTGGCCGACTTCAATCCGTCCGGTCGTCGAGTCGACGACGAAGGCGGCCTGCAGTCTTGAGGGCGGAACGGCCTCCAGCCGGGACGACTGTTGCGCCCGACCCGTGCTTCGAATCACGCCCAGTTCGTAGGTGATCTGACCGAATCGGTGGCTGTCCCGATCACTGGCGTGCACCTCGACGACCAGAGTGCCAGGTCGTGAGTTCTCGGCCAAGGTGACGGAATACCCTTCCGGCTGGTCGAAGACTGGCGGATTGTCGTTCATGTCACCCACTGCCAGTGTGATGCGCAATTGATGCTCCTTTGGTGGAACTCTTGTCGCCCCGGCAACCACGCCGGGGCTCATCTCGGCGGCATCGAGGCAGACGAGCAAGAGGGCGACGCGAGGCGTCGCCTCGTAGTCGAAGACGCCGCGGGTGTAGACGAAGAAGTTGACGTCACTTACACTCTGCAGACTGAGAAGCCGACGCCCAGCAACCAGTTCAGGGTCCTTTAGCTGCTCGTCAGACAGCTCTGAAGCCTGGCAGGAGACCTGACAAGGAAAAGGGATTAATAGAAAGACGGCAAGTTTTGGAGCAAATGTAGGATAAAGAGAAAGCGTACAAGGCATAGATGAAGAAAAATTGATTTACCAATATTGGTCTGACTGTATTCAGAGTTAACCTGCTTAACGACTAGATTTATAGGTTGATATCTTTCCAGAAGATGTTGGGTTTCCCCTTGGTCTGCTGTCGTCAGATTCTGCCGAGACACTCAGCTTGCTGCGGTCCTCGAGAAACCCTCTTTCGGCTTCAGGGAAGACGTGGTAAGTTTTTACTGCACATCACTTAACAGAATGCATCAGAGCGAGGAAATATTCTTGTAACAATCTAGAGCTTACATAAAATCAACAGAACTAACCGGCTAGAGTCTACTTGCTAAACATAATTATAGAAGAATTCAACGAAAATCAGTTAGATAAATAACTTTTTATTTCCTCACCATAATAAAATATACTGAATAACATACTGGAAATATACTTGTGCGATTGGATCTAAGCATGTGGGATGTAAGAATGTATGTATGTATGTATGTATGTATGTATTCTTCTGTGTCTATTTGCTTGCCTATTTGCGAATATGAATGAATTTGTGTATGTATGCATGCATGTATGTATGAACGTACATATTATGAATGTGTCTATGATATTCCCGAGTAATCAGATCAGCGCAGATAAGCATGATCTAAGATGATTGAGGCTTAATACAATTTTCATTGTTTTTTTTACCTACGGAGAGTAATGTGACTAAGTTGGCTGTATTTTCTCAACCTAAGTGAATTTAGAAGTTGTTTGACATTGTTTTCGCAACTTAGTTATATTGATAGGAAGACTTAGGGGAACGCACCTTGTCTGGAGTGCATTGTATGCCTCATCATTTCCAGAGTAGGACAGTAGGTCACTTATGGTGACGAAAGATTGAGAGTAATTTTTTTCACAATTATATGAGTAGGCCTCACGATGCCATTATCGAAATTAGCACTACACTGCATTGGTTCGATTTCCGTTAGGGATGCTGATGAGACCTAGGCGACGTCTCAATTTTGGGAAGCTGAATAAAATTTAATTGTATATACAAATAGTAAATGGGTTTCGATAAATCTCCTTAGATAACATTGTTCAGGAGACCTACATTTTATATAAAAGTACATGAAAAGGAGATTCGTTGGTTGCTCTCACCAGAAGACAATGGCTGATTCCCATTGTACTGCAGCCATTTGGCGTTAATACGACACTCAGGTTGGCATTTTCAGGGGATGTTTCGTAAAGCTTCATAATAATGCCAAGCGGCTGAGGTATTACAGGAATATTTCGTCTTCTGGTGAGATCGACCTAATTCTTCTTCGTGCATTTTCACACCAAACA